GGAAAGATTAATATTGACAGCATTTATTTATCTAACATGATTGGATTATACAGCTAAATTATATTACTATATGGAGAAAGTGCACAGTATCAGGTATGTGCAATGTTTCTTAGGGCAGCTGAGCAAGAAGTTGCTGTGCCCTAAAATAAAGTACTTATGCACCTGAAATGGCTTTTTGTTGTTAACTGTATCTGATAGTAACATATCTACATTTCAATAACATGATTTTGTTTAGCACATGTTCTAAATCAGTAAAACAGAATTTTGGCAGTCCTAAATGCTATGATTTTATATTAAGTATAGTGAAAATACTTGTAACAAGCCCAAGCCCACAGATATTCTCTCCTTTTTTGAACAGTGACTTCATTTCACCACCCTTTCTCTTGTCTTGCTGAGATTAAAAATTATTATGAGAAAGCCTTGGATATACTTATAGTAAAAAGAGACATTTTTGAAAAAGTTAGGGTGGAAGCATACATATATAAATAAAGAGGTAAACCCTAAAGCATAAACTTGAAGCAAACTTTGTCCTGACACCATGTGAAAATGAGTGAGCTGCATGCTGTGTGTAAAATCAGCATATTTTGTGTTGACAAGTGATGTCAAGCAGTATTTCTTTTACGGATAAATTCTGTGACAGTTGAGCTGTGGCTAAATTACTTAGAAGGCTTGTGGAGTTTTCAGAATGCTTGGAAAACAAATCCTGGAGGGTTATGTGCTTGTTCTAGGGATGGTGGCCATAGGTGCCTGTTATCTGTTGGAGGAGAACAAGAAAAACGATAGTAGCAGTGCTCCTGTAGGTGGCTGCAGTTTCCTGCCAGGGAAAAACAAACAAACAAACAACTGCCAAAAAGCTACCATTTATTGTTTCAGCAGACTGAACATCAGAATTTATTAGCTCAAAGATATTTACTGATAGAGGCAAAACCAAAGCTAACACAGTTCATAGATCTTGATCTTCCATTTTCTTTTTGGAATGGTTTAAAAACAAATTGTTGCTTTTTTATTAATAAATCCCTATATAGAAACAATCTCTTACATTTTTATTTCCTGCAAGGTTGTTACTGATGCTTTGTCTGGAGGCAGATGTTCAGTTTTCAGGCACATACTAGTTGTAAATTTACAAAAAAAAAAAAAAATTACACCCCAAAATGTGTCTTCCACTATGTGAAATGCTATCATAGCCTCTGGCCCTGGGCTGCAAGTTCTTGGCAAAGGTTGTCTGGTAAAATTTGTATAGGTTACATTTGCAACTGGGCGAAACTCAGTGTGAGACCAAGGCCATTTCTTATGACCCCTATTTCATTCTTAATCCTTATCTTTGCAATCACAGAACCTCAGTTATAGTTGTAGACATAGGCTGGAGGAAAAATACTCAATGTAAGAAAATACATTGTGTAAGAAAATATGCCATGTAAGGATTATTAGTAGAAAGGTTTAACAGAAAATTAGGCTGCATCATAGTTATTCTGGCTTCTAGTCTAAGGACTTGTAATAGTTATGTGAGGATTTTTAAGCTGTATCTGTAATAGTTGACCGTAGTTTTTATAGATAGCAAAGGTTAAAAGTTTGTTGTTGAATGTGAAAGTGAGTTAGAGTAATGATTCACAGTGGGATGATTTCACATTCAAGAAAAAGATACTTCATCCTCAGATGACAAAGAGACTTATAGTGGATACCTCTCAAATACTATGTAAATTGGGTAGAGTTTTAGGAGCCGTATATATTGCATGTGTTAGGTTTATTTTGTCTTCAAGCCTTTGCATAGGTATTGAACACATTCAGGTATTTTTTATGGCCCCTTTAATTAGGGAACTGCTGTAAGTTGTTGGGGTTTTATTATATACTTGCTCCAACAAAGCCTAATTTTGAATTACATTTTTGTGGCATTTTGTAACATTTAGATACAGTGCAGTATTTGAACAACAGCAAATATATACTATATATAAACTACAAAGAAGGCAAACTTTTTAAACCTATTGTTATTGCTGCTCTGCCCAGGCTGATACACCATGTATGTATCACCATTACCTACATCACTCCTTTTTGAGCATTTTAAGTGGATTGCATACAATTCGAGAAGTTGCACAAACATGAACCAGCTGATCTTGAACTGAAAAAGAAGAAATAAATTATTATTATATCTCAGTGTGCATCAGGGTTTCCTATAGCAGTCAGTGTGCATGATCTTACCCACAAAAATATGAAGTAATGTGAGCCTTTCTTTTTTAAGGAAAAATGCATTTGATTAAGACTGCATCTGTTGTGGAATAGAAATATATGTACATGTGTATGCTGGCATACTGCAGAATCTGAGATGTACACTGAATTAATTCATTTGAGTTTTTTAAGCTTTCATTGTTTCAAAAGTCAGTACAGTCATTTTGGACTTTCTGTGTTTCAGCTTTCTGTGATGAACAAGGAGCTACAGTTTTTATTACAATATTCTTTGCATAGTATGTGAACACTCAGATGTAGAAATGTTCCTACTTGAAGTCCAAAATATGTAACTGAGAGTTTATTCACTGTGCGAAGGAATAATTCCTAGTTATTAAAACAAATACTTTATTTCTTAGATTAAGGTCCACTAGATGTATCATGCTTAGCATTTTAAAACAGGTCTTGCTGATTTAGGCCTGAGTCTCACACTGGAGCTGGTTTTACAGTGATATAAGGAAGAAAGTTTTTTTTAACCGAAACAATAGAAGTGGCATGCTAATATTTTGATGAAGTCAAGTGCTGATTGCCCAAACTATGGGAATATCCTTCAGCATATAACTGACTTCAAAATTATCTTCTATTTTCTGTTTGAGGTTCCCCAAATTTATGAATCTCCAGTTCCCTCTTTAAGTGGTGTTCCAGTTTATAATGTACTGGTGATATTACAGCCAGTGGTGAACTGCATTGGGATATAGACCCAGCCTGTGAAGGCTCAGGTAAGAGTTGGGATTTTTGTTTGTTTTTTTAACTATATGGCACAGTTTTGCTAATACTTTATTCAAAAGCTTTAACAGAAATTATGAAAGTACTTTTTCAGAATTTTTACAAAACAAAGCCATATATTAAAAAAAGAGGCATTTACCTGAACTTCTCTAGGCTGGTTTCATGGTCATGTTTATTTCCCTGCCTGAGGTGTGGGGTTCCAGACTACAGTGCCACTTCAGGGGGTGCTGGTGATCTGTGGCTTCAGGGGACTTGACAAAGGACAAAAAAAGAAGTGAGCTCAAAATTGCTACAAACGGAGCTCTTTTCTTAACCATGTTAATTGGAATATTTAGGATGTTTGCTATATGTTTTTTAAAAATTCTTATACTACACCTGAAATGCATTCACAAAGTTGTAAGGAAACTTCAAAATAATGGTGAAATGTGGGAAGTTTAAGAGTGCAATGGCGTGGACTACAACCTAGAAAATGTTTTGTTTTTTTTTTTTTTTAACTTAGAATGATGCACATGGTAAAACATACCTATTTTTTACTTACTGTTGTATAACATGAGATCTTAATAAAATTTAGAAGTGCTGATAAGGATAGTAAATGTAGTATCTTATCTTTAAAATATCTTAGCTCAGTCATCTCTTCTGTTCTCCTTGATCTGAATTAAACAGTTGATGAGATTAGCTTTTCCAGCCAAGTAAAATGTTTGACAGCATGCAACACCCTTTGGAAGAGGATGCAGAAGCTTACAGAAAGAATTGGAATGCAAGAGCAGAGCATGACTGAGAACTAGTCTTTTGTCATTTGGCTTCTGAGCTTGTTGTCCAAGCCTTCCCCTCCCTTTAGCACTTTTGATACAAGTTAATCCTAGTGGTGCACTTCATAACCCTGGGTCAGTGATCGAAACCTGCCTGCCCTTGAGAGAGGTGTGCAGATTCCTGTGCTGCATCAGCTGGAGCAGAAGTAGATCATCTAATTACTTTGTGCATCTTTACACCAGTTTTTTTGCTCCGATTTATTTGCATTCTGAAAAGCGGTTTACTACTCCTTGGAAAAAACTCCACTGTAAATACTTATCTTCTAAATTAAAAATTATATGTAAAGCACACTTTAGTTTTGTGAAATATTTTGATGTTACGAGTTGCATATTTAAGAGCTACATCCCATCTAAATCTAGATGACAAATTGTGGGGTCTGGCTTACGCATATTTGGTGCAAGGCATGGGCATGGCTGAACAAAGGTGAAGACAAAACGGGGCCAATTTTATTTTCTTTAGTTGTGGAAATAAAATGTATAAGACCAGTTACTAAAGCAAGCCAGCCTCCAAAGCACACGGCTTGCCTCAAAGTCTCTTGTTCTGTTCTTCACGACTCCTCCCCTCCCCTATGGTAGGTATCAGTGTAACAAATGAACAGACTGTGATTCTTGCACCATCATTGGGGAATGAAGTAGCATTTAAGGATATATATTGAAATCAGCTTTGCCAGTTTAGCAGGTTTTATGGCCGTACAATGAAAGAGGTCGTGCTGATGATTCTGTCCCAAACCTGGGAAGAGAAATCCTGTAGGAGAGACTGTGTTTTGTTGCTTTCCTTGTGTAGGATTTCAATTTATGTTAAAATGCCTTTAGCATGCTCTGATGTTGGCAGACTATGACTCAGTTTATCATACAGGATATTAAATCCTTTTAGGTTAGCATGAATTTGTTTATAACAAAAGATTAACAAGTAGAACCAAGATATGGTAGCCTAGTCAATGGCTTTGAAATACTGCACTAACTTATATACATCAGCCCATCTTAAGATAATACAGAAGTAAAATTGGTCTTCAGAGGTTAAAAGGAAAACAGACTCACAAGATGCTGAATGTTGTGTCTGTCTGCACAATGAATGTGATGCTGGTGATAGTTATTAACTGGTAGCATCTGGTGGAAAAAAATGCACTAAACTGCTACGGGTTTTGATTGGTATTCCCCCTCTCCCCTGATTAGATGAGGATTTTTATAAGACTGACTGGTGTGGTACTGTGATAAACTTGTGAAGTCATGGTCTCAGCCACGAGATGCCACAGAGGTATAGCATCTAGGAATGCAGAGCTATCAAAATCTCCTGTGAGTGGGCTGTATTTTGGTGCTTTGGTGTTTTAAAAACAGTCTGTATGCTGTTTTATCTCTGAACAGTCTCATCTTTCACAGTTTATGCTCGTAGGTATAAATATTGAAGGTACTGGTATGCCACTTAGCATTTTACACTGAAGTATAAATATTCTGAAATTTATATGTAGCACATGGTTTGAAATACTATTGTCATTTGGTAGTTGGAGCAAAGGCTTCAGGAGTCATGAGTCTTTAGTGTTTTTTCCTGACACAATGGAAATTTTAAGCTACTAAAATTTTTTGTAACGACAGGCATTTTTAAGATTGACATGTCAGCAAGCTTCACGCTGTTCAATAACCATCTAAAGAAATACATAATGATTTGAAACAAATGGCTTTGCTTCTGTCATGCCTAGAAAATGGAATATGGCTGGCTCTTCATAAAACAAACCCAAAGCTTCCTTATGTTGCTGCTTTTTCTTTTTTTTGTTTTGAACTAACATATGATCATGACATTGTTGTGCAGTTCTCTGCTGCTTATGTTTTAAGTTGAAATCTCATTTTTGTTTCAGATTCTCCTTCTTCTGTGGTTAACAAACAGCTTGGATCCATGTCACTTGATGAGCAACAGGGTGCGTGTGACAGGAAATGTGCTAAGCCCAGACATAGTTGATTGCAATGCTTCCTTTTAAAATTGCCTTTCATGATGATAAACAGTCTAAAAATGCTGTTAATCTACATAAAATAGGATTCTGTAAGCAGATCTGCTGGAAACTCATTAATTATTTAATTCTTAACACAAGTAACAGAATAAGGTTAACTTGTTTTCAAAAGCCATCCGATGCTCAATTCTTAATGGGTTCAGTATAGGTACAATAAATATCTTATGTACTGCACATTTAGAATATTTTTTGAATGCAAAGTAAAAATAATTCTTTAAACAGTCTTTTTCTGAATGGTTCTTCTTGGATCAAGGTGCAAATATCAGGATTGAAGTAACTTTTAATCATGTTATGCCAAATTAATTTATCTTATGCAATAGAGATGCACAGCTTTGTTATACTTCCACAGTTTGAGTAACTCAAGCACCTATCACACTTAGGTGCATATTACCTCTGTAACCCCTTCTCCTATACCCTTTCTGTTAGACAAGTGCTAGTGTTTCTCTGTAGATGCCCTGTGGGCTGGTGGTAAAAAGAATGCATATTCATTAGTCTTCAAATTATGAGCAGTGAAATGGGCTGTAGGTGACCCTATTCCAGCTGAACCAGTGTCATCTGTAGTGGATATTTATCCCTGAATAATTAATGAGTGATAGATGGTTATTTAAAAATAGATTTCCATGCACACTGCATTATGCTTACTTCCATATCAAAGCCTCTCTGCATTTAATAGCTCAAATCCCACAAAAGAGCTGACTGTTTCAACTTGTTTCACTAGCATAATGTTTTGAAATCCCATTTCTGAAAAATAGTCTTTTGGCAACTGTTGAAATTCTGGTTTATTTTAGATGCCAGAACATTGGAAAAAAAACCTAAGCTGTGTTTTATGTTGACAAAATAAATTCATTTTGTCAAATTACGTTTTGGGATTAAACAGCCTTAAACCTTAGTATGTTAATTTGGTAATTATTCATGGCTCAGTAGTCTACATCACTATGATAGTCAGGTTTAGCTGGAAAATTTGCTTATAATTAGTGGCCAAGTTATGTTCTTTTGTATGAACTCAGTGTAACGCATTATTTGATGAGAGTAGAATAAACTAAAATTAACATCAAAAGTCAGTAAACCTATGTTTACTGAAGTTCTTACAACTGTGAAAATTTTGGAAAAGGAGTAGATTATTCCATGAAGTGGTGAATCAAACCCACCTGACAAAAGTAAAACCAGAAGGTTTAGTTCCAAAATCTGTATCATGTTCATTTTCAGGCAGCATAAGTTGCCATAAAATATAATTTGTGTATTACTATTATTAATGCATTCTTGTAATAGAACCATAGTTGTAGTAGGCACCTGTAAGGTTTTTCTAATATTTTTCTTCCTGTGTTAAGAAATTACTTGAGCTAATATGAAGAGGTTTCCTCTCATAAAAGCACTACAGGTTTTTTGGTATTCAAAAAAAAAAGCAAAATACATTTGTTTATTCAGACTTTATTGGTAGACCAGGTTTCTGATTGTTTTAAGGCAATCTTTTTCATTTGTGATGGTAAGCATCACCAGAAGAGACTAGAATTTTATTTCTTGTTTGGAAAACTAAGAATTTGGAAAAGAAAGCAATTTATTAGGAAATCTTTTGTCCAAATGGTGACCAGAAAGAATACTTCGCTGAGAATCAGCTGGAATTTTTGAGTTAAACAGCATTACTTTCACTTCATATTTGAACGGAAATCTAAAAAAATATGCAAGCAGCTCAGTCATATCAGTTCTTTTTATCTAGAAACGCTGTTTAGATATTATTCTTGTCTTTTCTTAATTTGGTACTGAATCAGCTGTCTTCTGTTGGACCAGTCTCTTTTGTTGGCATTTATGTTTTGAGACTATTTCTAGGTTTAAAGATCTTTGGCTACTTATTTCAAACATATAAATTTATAATGCTCTTATTCTGACAGTCCAGCAGAAGCTACAAGTCATTCCCATCTGTACAAAATGGTTTCAAATGGATTACAGTGATCTCTGTTGGGTTTAAAAGATAATTTTTTTTTTTTTTTTACTGTGATTGTATTAATGGAGGGTTGCTGTTAGATTTGTAGCCATGTAAAGACAATGTAATGATGATAAGGTACTGCCTGAATTAATATGATTAAAGAGGGAACCTGAAGCCAGAGAACTAGCTCAGTTATTTGGAGATGTAAATGTGTGTATCAATCCCGCGCCATCTTAATGCTGCTTCCTACATACAGAGAAGCCATGTTGGTTACTGATATTTCTAGGTATTTGCAAGTTAGTGTGGGGGCTTAGTAATCCCTTATGGTAGTGTCTATACCAGATTGTTCAGTGCCACATTACAGATACTTGAGCTGGCTCAGAACAAGGTGGTGTGTCAGCTATCACAGAGTTACCTCCTCATAGGTACTGTAAATCCTTGAAACTGTATTGGCATGTGTTGTGTCCCAGCCACTTGGCTCTGCCTTCCCAGTTAGGTGAACTGGTTGAGTGCTGATATGTGTATAAAACTTTCCAGATCTTTAGTGAACTCTGCAAGCTCAAGAGTATCAGACCTGTGTTTCATTGTAAGGTACATTTGTGGTCTGTACTGCCTCCTTTGGTAAAGTACTACATCTAATTAGTATAGGAATTGTTTAGACAAAGAAATTATATGCCTCTGGCTATAGACTGGGCTGATCCAGAGAATTAGTTTTATTTTTCACTGTCCCTTTGACATCACTGTGCCTTATACTGACTGATGTCAATTTAATGTTGTTCAGTCAGTATTCCTCACTAAAAAAAGAAATCTTCATCCTTCCCTCTGAGTTCAGCTGCTTCTGATGAATTTTCATGTGTTAAGCCTTCCCATGGAATTCCTATTTCCTGAAATAACACCACTGAATTTCTCTTCTTTAGATGAATTTTTCTCTCTTCTTTCCAATAGACTAGTGAGTAGGGCAGTATTTGAGACGTGGGAAACCATCTTGAAGTTCCTTCCAGTCTTAGTTTAACTCATTAATGCAATTGGTAAATCTGTTTTTGTGCACTTACCATTTCACAGGTAAGAGCTCCAAATCTTTATGAAGTTACACTTGTATGGCTCATTTTCTGAAGGAAAAAGTGCCTATGAGGGATATTGCTTTCAGTTGTGGGGTTGGTTTGTTTTATTTTGTTTTTTATTTCTAATAAGGTTATGAATGACATTTTGTCTTAATTTCTAAGGGTGATACTTTAATAGTACCTTCCTTCTGTAGGCACCTGGAGAATGAACTTTTTTCATGGGAGTGTCTGTTCTAGGACAGGGTTGCTTATAAGATAAGTAGTTGATAGTATCCTTAAAGAATAATGTATTTGGCTGTAAAATTTGTAAAGTTTCAGGGTATTTTTGAAGAATTTGGAGTAGAGTTTATTAAGGTGTTGACTGACAAGCTACAACTTTTTCTTGGAGCAATCATTGCCCTACTAGACCTTGCAATCAGACTAATAGTTTTAGCAATAGCTCTCCTCTAAATCACAAAGGCTGTATGACTTTTCCTCTTCTTTCCTTTGTTTTTTATCAAAGTGAAGTAGATCTGGCCTGATGAGAAGAACCATGCTTCCTTATGATCTAGTCAGTCCTTGGTGATCACGTTGTTCTTGAAAGCACAGAGTTCAGGACTTCTGGATTTTATGTGATGTCTCTAAAAGAATATTCAATTATGTATTGGGCAAAGCTTATTAGCTTTCTTCACAGAGGCTCCCATTCAGCTTTCATTAGCAGTGTAACTTTAATATAAAATAGTGAGCTACACAACTAATTCTCTGCAGTTTATAACGATTGTCTCATCTGTGTTTTTAAAAGTTTCTCGTCCTTATTAGTGTCAGTGTCATGCTCTAAAACTAGTTCAAGTAAGAAACTGACCTATCCAAATTGTAGATCACATTCTTGTAGATTTAAGAAAAAGCTGTTACACAGTGTGGTTAAACAGCTCCCTGCCTCCAGAAATTTGTAAAAATAATTTGTACAAATAATTTCTCAGTTAGTGTTCTCTTTGCATAAGTCTGTAGCAATTCTTCCAGCTTTTTGAGTGTGACTAAATATAAGCATTGCTTCTGCAGTAAGTGTAGTTAGAGGCCAGCCTTTATGCATCTTGGTTACATATTTTGATGTTGAGATTTTAAGACAGGAAAGCATTGTTAAAGTAATATGATCTGAACTTGGTAACACAAGCCTAACATTCAATTAGGTTGATTCCAGTTAGGTGGTGTTTGGTTACTTTGATCAGTCATAGTAACTAGTTTGTAATAGTGACATTTGTGGAAGCAAATGTTGCATAGCAGTTACAAATAGTCATTATTTGGTGGCTGTCTTGGACTATTCAAGGCAGCAAGTTACCTATCTGGGTTCCTTATTCAAAGATAAGTCTTTTTGGTACCTATTAGAAGGAAGGTAAAGAATTCTTCAGTGATGTATTTTTTTCAGCATCCAACTCCTGCTGACTTGTGCGGTGTGTTGGAACAATCAGTTTTTGTACTAGCTTAGGAAGGGATGCTCAGAGTTTGAACAGACTTTTATAATAAGAGATGCTTGCTGATAGGTTGCCAAAAAATAGGTAAAGCACCTGTTTAGTTAAGAAATAATATAATTTTTGTTCCTAATATATACCACTATAAAATATTTTCTCATATTTATTTCTTTTCTTCGTTTATTTCAGGAGCAGGAAACCTTTCTTCTGATCAGTTTTATCCTTGATCCACTCTAACAAGAGTGTAACTAGAATATTTTAGAGAGTATGAGCTTTTCTTTGCATAGAATAGTGATGCCCATGCCTTATGTATGATTAGTATCATGGTTGTAATTGGTTAATCCTTTCTCATAAAAATATTTTAACTTTAGTTATTTGTGGTTTGTTTGGTTTGGTTTTATTTTTTTTTATTTATTTATTGTGTGTGTTTCCCCCCCCCCAATTTCTCTTTATGATATGTAGAAATACATATTCAAGGTTCTTTGGAGCAGCTGACTGCTGCTCCTGATCCTGTGAGTGGTCTTCTGCCTGTCAGCAGTTTAAAAATATGAGCATTGATTGTTAGGTTAAATTCTTACATGCTAATTCAGGGTTCCTATAATCTATTTGTATTTTTTGAAATGAATATGCCGTGGCAGTATTGTAACCATTACTGTTTTAATCATAGCCTTTTTTGAGTGGGGGAATTTGTAGGTTTGTGCTTGAGTCAAATGTTAGATTTTAATTGAAGTTTACTCAAATATGATCTGAAGCTTTTTTTTTATCATACGTGTCAGTCTGCTGCCAATACTGCAAGTATACTGACAGTCAAATTTCTGAATTTCTTAAACCAAAGAAAATATGTCATGGTTTTGTCCAAGCAGTCCTGAGATAGAAAGCTCAATGTTCATGAAAAACAAGACTTTGTAGTCTACTTAGCGGTGATTGGAGTGGTACCTCATACTAAGTAAACTCTCTCATCTGAGTTCTGAGGGGATGGCACCTCTGTAGTGACGCTTAATCTGATGGTGCTTTCCATTAACTTCTTAGTATTGCCCAAGGCAAACTTCAGTATTAATGGCAATTGTGCTATGTGTATACATAGATTGTGACCATGAATTTTGCTCAAGGATGGGGGGTGGATTGATGCCATTGAGCAGTTCTGTTTTGAAGGTGCCTACTGAACATTGTTAAAAATGTATATATGCAGCAGACGTTTGGCAGACTTTGTTTGATTCGCTTCTACTGCTTTTGGATATCATGAACAGTTTGTACTTCGCTTATGCTTATTATGACATGAATGGTTTTTTTTAAACCCAGAGATCTCAGAGCATGAATTTACAGTGGTTTTATGACAACTAGCTGACAATTCACAGCAGGTCTAAGGATATTGGTAGTCAACTGAGTTCTAAGTAGGCAAAAAAATAGAGGGGGTGATTTTTTTATAGACCACAGATTGTGTCTAGATCTCATAATAGTTTTTTTTGTCATGTCTATTTATGAGGCAAAAAAGACTGAACACCACTACCAAAAACATTTTACATTCTTATTATTATTATACTTGATAGAAAAGGGATCTCCTTATAAAGGATAATACTGTATGTACACATACCTATCTGCAATTTTATTTATCTGCATGTTGAAGTACAGCATATTCTTTGTTTTCCTTTATAAATGCAAATAATTTCAGGCCATTTTAAAGCATTGCAAGTTTGGTGTGTTTACTCTGAAACTTTTTAACTTTTTGCTTGGGCTGTAAGAGATCTTAAATAGACATCGTACATGCTACTACCATATTTCGCCTTTGTTTAGATAATTAAGTGAATCCTCAGAATAACAATTTTGTGTATTACTGGTGCCCATACAAACTTTATCAATCCCCGTATTTACAGAGAGTGATAAGCCACGAACAGGAACAGAACCAGTTTTAAGTTTGCACTACAGTACAGAAGGAACGACTACAAGCACGATAAAACTGGACTTCACTGATGAGTGGTAAGAAGTTAAATTTCGGCTTGACTGGTTATTGATTGGCAACAAATCACTAACACTTGTCTAGAACAGATAGAGGTAAATTACTTTTCTGCATGGTATATGAGTATTTTTAGGTGTATATAGAAAATTTGAAATGTCTGTAGTTCTTAATGCATTCAGAACATAAGACAGTCATACGTTAAAATGAAATTTATGCAAAGAGGGATTTTGTGATACTTAGTATGAATCTTTTTAATGGTAACATAATTTGAAACATGCTATCTTCATCAAACGTTAGCATAATATTAGTGTTTGCTATCTTAATAAAGCAGGTTAGTACAGTGATAGAAAGGTGGTCTAGGGCTAGTGCTTAAGTTTTAAGTCTCTGCTCTACCAGACTTCATACGTTATTCTGCAAAATTAGTGTTTCTATGGCACAATTCCTGAGTTTTAAAACAGTGAAATTAGTATTTCTTTGTCTGAGGAGTGTTGATGAATACGCTTGGATAAGCTATCAGCTTTGTGGACTGCTAAGATACTGCAGTGATGGCATCTTTTTCACTTAATAAACACGTACTTTCCAACTGGCCTGACTTCCTTGGTTTTGTATCGAAGTCTAGAGCATCTCAGGATCTCCCAAATTAACCACAATCCTTATTTTATCCATTTCTACTTCATAGAATCATAGAATCCCTTAGGTTGGAAGAGACCTTTAAAATCATCAAGTCCAACCATACTTCTGTTCTTTCACTTGTGTTTGCAAAATTATTGTAGAAAACAGTAAGTAGAAATGCTTGCTGGTATTTGTAACCGGGGGGGGGGGAGGGGAACAACAACAACAAAAAACAAAACAAAACAAGAAAAACAAACAAACAAAAAACCAAAAAAAAACCCAAAACCAAACAAACCAACCCCACTACATTCAGCTGCTCTTAAGTGCTGTGGCATTAGAAATAAAACTTAGACCTTGACCATAGCAGTCTGGAAACTTTAAACAGTAATCTGTGTGTTTCATAAGAATTAAGACTTTGCCCAGGTGTATCTGAAATGCTGTGACAGTTATGTTCAACCAATCTGTCAGACTGTATTTCTATTTAGAGTCCAAATCCAACAAGCTATGAAATAATTTGTTTTGCTGTAACACTTTCAACTAATTCTGCATTTAGTTTTGTAGTCATCTTTGTTTAGTATTTTAGGGTAGGCAAGTTTCACAAGAGGAACAGAGCATTAACAAATGCTTTGTCCATTGATTCTAGTGATTTTTTTAATGTAATAATAAAATATTACTACCGCTGTATCACAGAAAACAGATTTTATTGAACAACAGTAACACTTTGTTCCTGTCTTTATTTTGAACCAGATTTTGAAAAATGCATTTTGCACTTCAAACGTTACTGATGTAAGTGATTCTAAAGACGGAGCGTTTTAATTAATAACTACCTCAAAAAACAATATTAAGAAAAAGTAGAATGTACACAAGAACATTACTTGTTACAAAAAAAATCTGTAACTGGGGAAGCAAAGACCAAGTGAAAACTACTAAAACTTCATGTATGTATTCTGTCTAAAGCAAGTGTTTTAACAAATTTCTTCAGCCAAGGGTTAGCACCGGGTGAATGATAATTACAAGGTATAATACAAATGGAGAATGAGAGACTAAACATAATAATCTTTTAAGATTAATAGTAGCAATGTTCAAGGCTTTAGGACAGGACTGATAAAAAGACATATTCAAATAAGCAGTGCATGAGAAACAAATCAAAATTAAGGGAACTAGAATGTGCATGATTCAGTCCCTTTTATTTAACAGAGTAATGGGTTCTTGAAACATGGTGTAAGAGAGAGAAACAATCTGTATTTCTAGAAAATATTTGATACTTTGCTGCATGTTGAACTTCTGTTCAAGATGGGGCAGATAGATCAATAAAGAAACTAAACATGGTGGTAAGCTAACTTAATAGAGCATTTGTAATGGGCAGTGTAGAGTGAGTAGTGAGAGGAAGAAGCATTTCCTAGTGGAATAAAGTTCCAAGGCTTTCTCAGTTCAGACGCTAACTAAAAACATTGTGTTGAAGAATGGAATAATAGAAGTAGGATGCAATTCCCTATAACAAAATGGTGCAGTTGAGGGCAAATAACAAAACCTAATCAGAAAGTTTGTCATGTTGTGAAAATGAAATGGAGCAAGACATGGACCTAGAATCATAGAATCCTTTAGGTTGTAAGAGACCTCCAAGATCATCAAGTCCAACCATCAAGCCAACACTACTAAGTCCTCTGCTAAAACAGATCAGAATCTGTCAGGGTTGGAAGGGACCACAAGGATAACCCAGTTCCAACCCCTCTGCCATGAGCAGGGACACCTCACACTAGATCAGGCTGTCTAGAACCTCATCCAGCCTGGCCTTAAAGACCCCCAGGGATGGGGCCTCAACCACCTCCCTGGGCAACACACTCCAGGGTCTCACCACTCTCATGGTGAAGAACTTCTTCCTCACGACCAGTCTGAATCTACCCACTTCCAGCTTTGCCCCGTTCCCTCTAGTGCTGTCATTACCTGATATCCTAAAAAGTCCCTCCCCAGCTTTCTTGTAGGCCCCCTTAAGATACTGGAAGGCCACAATAAGGTCACTTCGGAGCCTTCTCTTCTCTAGACTGAACAGCCCCAACTCTCTCAGTCTGTCCTCGTGGGAGAGCTGCTCCAGCCCTCGGATCATTCTCGTGGCCCTTCTCTGGACACGCTCCAGCAGGTCCACATCCCTCTTGTAATGGGGGCTCCAGAACTGGATGCAGTACTCCAAGAGGAGCCTCAGCAGAGCAGAGCAGAGGGGGAGAATCACCTCCCTCCACCTGCTGGCCACACTTCTCTTGATGCAGCCCAGGATCTGGTTGGCTTTCTGGGCTGCAAGTGCACACTGCTGGCTCATGCTGAGCTTCTCATCCACCAGCACCCCCAAGTCCCTCTCCTCAGGGCTGCTCTCCAGCCAGTCCCTGCCCAGCCTGTATTGGTGCCTGGGATTGCCTCGACCCAGATGCAGGACCCTGCACTTGGCCTTGTTGAACCTCATGAGGTTGGCTTGTGCCCCCCCCTCCAGCCTGTCCAGGTCCCTCTGGATGGACTCCCTTCCCTCCCGCCTGCCAGCTGTACCACACAGCTTGGTGTCGTCAGCAAACTTGCTGAGGGTGCACTCAGTGCCACTGGCCATGTCCCCGACAGAGATGTTAAACAGGACTGGTCCCAGCACTGACCCCTGAGGGACTCCACTCCTCACTGGCCTCCACTGGGACATGGAGCCATTGACAGCCACTCTTTGGGTGCGGCCATCAATCCAGTTCTTTATCCATCTAGTCGTCCACCCATCAAACCCATGTTTCTCCAGTTTGGAAACCATGATGTCGTGGGGCACAGTGTCAAAGGCTTTGCTCAGGTCCAGGTAAATGACACCAGTTGCTCGCCCCTCATCGATTAATGTTGTGACCTTTTCATAGAAGGCCACCAGGTTTGTCAGGCCTACCAGTCACTTCATTCTCAATATAATGCAGGTAACTAGAAAGACAAGTATGATCATAGATGTCAACAGATGGGAGACTTCAGCCAAGAATAAGAATTACTTGTGGTGCTGCTCAACTCTGCTCTGCTTTGTCACTTAGAATGCTGTGTACAATCTTCATCATGCTTTTGGGAAAACTGGTTCAAATTGACAGAGGTTCAAAGAAGGGTTATGGGGAAAACTGGGGAAACAGAAAACCTGCTATGGAAGCTCATAATAGGGCTTAAGGTAACGAAACCAGAGGTTGTTATTTTGCTCTCTTAGAAATATCCTCTTCGTATAACTGGTAGTGTGAGAAATAATATTTAAATAAAAATTAAGGCAGAGTAAGACATGAATATAAATTGGTATTGAGTGTTGTGCTAGAAAGTAGATTCCTCAGAGTGGAAAAAAAAAAAATCTGCCTAGACTGTGATTAAATTCATAGAAGTGATTATATCATATGAGGCATGAAATAGCAAAAATTCTAAACCTTGTGTCTAGCAGTATCCTTCTTTTCTGTCCATTTAGAAAAAATGCTGAAAATTCTTGATTTAGAAAATATGCTGGAAGGGATAGCAAAATTTTTTTACACACTCCAGGTCCAGGACAGCAATAAAATAGACTATTGCTCATCTACAGTACTAAAAGCTGTCATAGCTAACGTCAAAAACAAACAAACCAAACTGAAGTCTAGAATAGATTCTCAAGAATCTAAACTAAGCGTGACTTGTGCTGCTTCTACCAATGTAGCGTATAAAATAGTTTAATAACATGCACAAGTAAGAAGATACCTACAGTTTAAGTTCTTGAGAATCATGCTTATAGTTCTTACAACTCATCTTTGTTTTCACTTTTGTCTAGTGATTTGCAGCCAAAACACAGATGTGGGACAGGAGAATGGGAGAGCTCAGGAAAAAGGCTTTGCATTTCATAAAATAAGGTCTTCTCCAGACTCTAAAAATGTTAGTTTTGATGACATTTAAAACATGAGTGTTACATATTTCCTAAGCAAAAATTTTCCTTACTGTAAAAAAATTATTGTTCCACAATAATTATCTAAACATGAATGGGGAGCAAATCTGAAGTACCAGATTATAGTAAAAATTTGGGAATAACAAAAATTTGAGGACTGAAAGCCAGCAACAGAAATCCACTCTTCAAAAGATAAAAGGGTGATAGTTACTAGTGAAGAACCTGGAGAATTTTATGTAAATCAGATTTTTTAATTGGGTGGGATAAGATTATGTATTAGTGCTCAGCTGACAGTTTGTAATAGAAGATCTCTGGTCATGTAAAAAGTGTGTAAATAGTGAATGAGACATCCTTTTGAGTTCTCACAATATTTTGAAAAGCAATGAAGAAATCCTTTTAAAGTTTTTGTTGGTCTTTGTTTTGGGTTTTTTTTTTTTTTTTGACAAGAGAACAAGGTTCTGTGATGCAGTGGAATAGTGTGGGATGAGTGGCAGTAGACAAAAGAATTTTGAAATGGCTGTGGAGGTTGTTACTTGTAGCTGCTGCCAGGAGCTACTGAATTGTGAGAGCTTAGTGAAAAAGATGATGATGGTCAGGCTGTGCTGTTGCAATGATCTATTTACATTATTTCTAAATTTTTTTATATGTTATGTTGCCAGGAGCAGCACAAATTCAAGCTCTAGAGGGAGTGGAAGTCATTGCAAAACTGAAGACCAAGAAGACACTGTAAAAAAAGCCTCTGAAGAGTCTGGGCTTGAAGATGAAGAGATAAGTAAGATACAGCATTATTTCTGTAACGTTAAGTTAAAAAATCTGCTCTCCTATGTTTGTGACGACCATTGAACGCAGTGGGAGTCTCATACACATTCATATGAAGGCAAGATATAGCCATAATAGAACACTTTTTTTTTTTTAAGGAAGAACAAGGTACCAACTTGAGATGGCTGCAGATCAATATAAACAAAATGAACTTACCCTCTCTTTACTTCTACAACCCTTATTCTTTTTTCTTAACAACATATTCTGCTGCAGTTTGTATCAAAAAAAAAAAAAAAAGAATTGCACTTTGCAGTCATAAGTGACTGCTAGGTATTTTGTTACATTTCTTTCAGGCTTTCACTGTATTTGTTACATGTGGTTGTCTTGCTCAGTTAAGTGCCAAAAGGGCAGTCAGGTCAAATGGCTGGTGGCAGAGACATTTAAAAAACCAAACCAAACACCAACACAAAACCCCCTTAACTTAATTTGTGTCTTCAAAAATAATAGCTTTTAGTAACTGATCATCTGTTTCATGCTTAATGCTATTCTTGCAGCTAAAGCCTTCAGAGCATAGGATAGTAAGTATATTAAGGAACAAGAAATACTTTTCTTTTAGTGTATTGACCTGGGCAGCTACATAGGTTTATATGTGCTGACTTCTATGTGAGTAGCATCTGAGATTTCAGTGAAGTGACCTGTGGACTTTGGAGAGAATGGATTTGATCTAGGAGTGCTACTATCATTTGGATTTGCTTACATTATAGAAGTGTATCTACATGAGATAATGTGATTTAATATAAAGTTGTTTAATTCAGGAGTTCCTGATGAATCTCACAAGGGAGATGCAAGTGCTGAAGACCTGAAAACTACAGATGAAACTGTAGAGACAACAGAAGCAAGTAGGTATCTCTACTCTTTCAAACATAAATAGGTGACAAAGTAGAGAATGAAAAACTAAATTTCCACTATAAACTTAGTTTGCATAGTATGCAAATTACTTATTATGCATAATTTAACTTCTGTGATCGTTTATAACATCTTCTAAACCAGGCTATAATAATTAATGCTGTGACTTATTTTCCCCAATATTTTCTGTTAGCCGTATCAGATAAACCTGATTTTGAGCATTCTGGAATCCAACTGGAAGAGAATGACCCCAGTATTGCTGCTGTCTCTGGAAATCTAGAGGAAGAAGGCTCCTGTGAAAAAAGCACAAATCAAGAAGTTTCAAGTCAAAGTACTGAATCCACTGCCAGCTCGCTTGCTGCGAACGATGAACCTCAGCCACGCGCAGAATCCTCAGGACTTGCAACTCCAGACGAGTGCTCTACCAGGACCTCAGCTCTCCAAGAAACTGATGATAGTGATGATGATCCTGTTCTGATCCCAGGGGCAAGGTATCGAGGAGGACCAGGACACAGGTTAGGAGAATACTTCTCTCTGCTATTGTTTAGCAAAATGCTATATTTCCTTTTTTATTTTTTTTAACAGAAGATCTAGAAACTTATGCCTCATACCCTTAATTAAGTTGTTCTTTGACAGCTAGCCAAGAGCTTGATGGCAGTGTCTCATTTGCCTGTATGTAAGATAGCTGATATTTGCATAGCTGTATTTTCCCTCCTAACTAGGCAAGCTCCTACAGATTTAATACCTGCTTATGCTTTTCTCACTTGCTGAATACCCCAGTGCTAAATATTTGCAGTTCACTTTTTATTGTTCTCCCTGCAGTCATAACTAAAGAAAGTTCATATAAATTTGTGTGCAGGATATTAGGACCTGCATCTTCTTCCAACTGTACTTTAGGTGTTCTTACTTTGGCAAAGCAAGTGTTCTTAACTGTTTCTGTTAAACAATGTTGTGTTTGTCTGTACTATCTGCATTAAGACTGGTGTGTTCAATTTATCATTGTTTTTCTCTAAGGACAAACTCTGTGATCCTTTTCCTTTTGTTGGTTATTGAATATTGAAAAAAAAAGATGCATTTAGTAAGCTTTGTATATTATTTTTTTCTTTCTTGTAAACTATAAACAACTGTATATACTTGTCTGATCATTCAGTAAACTTTGCCCCATTTGGTATTGCTAGTTTAATACCTTTGTTCACTAATTTCAATTCTTGGACTTTTTAAAAGCTGTAATACTTATGTAAGCAACATCTCTATTGTTAGACTTAAGAAAATACCTTTTTTACTTGTTTGAGATGTTATATAATTTAGTGTCATATGCCTGTCTCCATTTAAGGGCTCAGGGCAGCACCCCATGGAGCAGAATTTGTGCTCCCCCTCCCTATCCCTCAGTTTTTCTCCAGATGGAGAGATAAACAAGGGAAGTTAGGAATAAGAGAGAGACTCTGCACCGATTGAAAGTTATTAAAAATAAAGTATATTATTTAAAAGCTAACAGAAAGCAAGAAGGGAGGTAGAGATATATATACACAAAGATGGGAGGAAAAACAAAGTAGATACAAGATACACAAAACCCAAATATCGGCACAAGATTGCTCAGAACCGCATGGATGCAGCCACGTTGTGCTCTCCCCAGCCCAAAAAGACAGAGAGAAGCATCCACTTCCTGGCTCTCCTTTTTAAAGTGTGGAAAAGGAAGAGGGAGGGAATAACTGCTTACCCCCTGGGACCCTCCAGGGTCCTGGAGGTCACGTGTCCCGCCCCCAAGCCTCAAACCACAACAATGCGTTAGTTTTACACCTATCTTGTTCAAAGGCAGCATTATCTTGCTATAAATTTCTTAGGCTAGCAATGCAAATTCTTTGCAGGAAGCATTACAATATGTATTCATTAGGAAATAAAAGAATTTCATATTTGTGTAAAGATTTTGAATAAATTTCAGGTAAAAAAAAAAAAGTCATAAGCTATATTGTCAGCAGCGACAAAAAGAACAGTCAGTGCTTGTGTATTACATAACACAGGTAGTTCTGCTCACCAAATGACATTTTTTATGAAAAAGCCAATATATACGGATTCTGTCTTAACCTATTAACTTTCCATACAAAACTAAGTAATTGCAGATAAATATTGAATGACAGGAATACATTCCCCTGCAAAGCCCAATGTTCATTATGATCAAGTCACTAAAGAGCAAGCTGTAAAAAAAGCCCTGCAATGTTAATCTTGTTTCTGTTTTTGAGCAGGATTCTTAATTTCTCTTCATACACCTTATGTTGTCTCTACAATGTAAGTTTTTGTGGCACTGTAACAAGAATGACACTTCGAGGTATCATATAGTTGTTAACATTTCCCAAAAGTGAGGACACTCTGAAGTTACACTTCATCCAACATTCTTTTTTTTCCTTCCTTGTGGTTTCTTCCTGTAGCAGTTTAAGTTTATTATATGGGAGAGATTATTCAACTAATTAATGATATAATTAAAATTCTTTATGCAGCCCCCTGCTCCCTTATGCTTCCCTCAAAATATGACAAAAGTTGCTGTGTAGTCAATAGTGGTTTAGGATTGCCTCTAAGCTTTTGTTAGTCAGGTTTAATGCCTCATCAGTTCATTTTGTTCTGGTTTTGTGTGTGTGCAAACAGTGAAGTTTTCTAGTTTAACCTCTAGGCAGTCAGATGAACGTTTATTCCCTGCTGTTCTTCTGGTTTCAGGAGTTTTTAAATGCCCTCTGAGATACTGAAGAAAAGTAAGACATCCTATGTGTGCTCAAAGGAATCTGGATTTCCAGAGAGAAAGCAAGCACTGGTGGTCTTAAAGGCTAGCTATAAGCCATCTTGGTATTTGTATCTCATATGAAATAGAGTTAAAGGAGCTAGTACTCTTCTCTGCTGCTCCTATGAGATTTGTTAGAGCGTATAATCCTTTTCATAAACAGATCAAATTTATGTAAAGTCCCCCTGGCTCCTTAGCTAATGGGAAGCTACCTCAAAACATTACTGCTATATTGAATATAGATTGACTAAAATTAGCTCTTTTGTTTTGTGCCAATGTACTGGTTCAGTTGAAATAATTTTTTCATGCCCAGTGCTTATCATTTGAGTGATCATCCTGTCCATTTTCAGCTTTTGTCTCACCAGACTGAGTGCCGATTTTTTTCTCGCTCTTAGTAAAAATTTGTGGGTTTCCTGCCATTGTGCCAGTCCCTGTCCATGCTCTTCCACTTCTTTCCTGAAAACGATAGTCCAGAGTTATGCACACTGTATGCAAAATCCTGTCTGGATTTTGCTAGGATTAATGGCATGAGTATTCCTCTTGGTCTAGAGAAGATTCTGAGACACAAGTGAGCTGTAGCTACATCCTTCGCCTCTCTTGCTTATGGTTTCTTATAGTGGTGGCTTGTGGTCAGACACAGGGTCAGTTAGTATACTGAAAATCCCTACTTTGTAATTTCTAATTTGTGTTCTTATCTTTCACAAGAAGGAAGCTCAGAAGTGTATGACTATTTTATACTACTGAATTTCTACCCATCTCTTTTTTTAAAAGTCCTACTCAGTATTCCTAGTTACCCAATCTCATGTCCTCAATCCACTGCATTTTGCTCAAAGACTATTAGCAATATATTAAGCAAATTTGCTTGCAAGACTGGTGTGCTTAACTTCACCAGTATGTTTCCTATAGGCATATGTTTTCTTTTTTCTCCCTTAGTAAACTGTGTTACCTAACAATTCCTCTACTAAATCTCATTTTCCCAAGTTTATCTAGTAATTTAGTTTCCAGTTTGTCATCATAGGAGATAACTAATGACATTAATATAAAATAATAAAGTAGGTTCTTCTGTCTATAGAATATGTATCTAGGGGAAGTGTTGCTTTATGGCTTTTTTTGGGCTGTTTCAGGGTTTTTTTGTCACTTTCTGGCAAAGGTTATAAGGTGAGCCTGCAATAATCTACTTTTTGTGAGCCTGTTTTATGAGTTGGAAAAAAAAAAAGTTCAATTCTAATTTTTCTCCAAGACCAAAAAAAAAAAAAAAAAAAAGGCTGTAGCCTTCTGAAACAGAATGCTAAAAGCTACTTGACTAATAAGCCTTTTGCAGTATATAGCATTACAGATTTTATCTACAACCAATTTTGGGTTTCTTTAGATTGTACTTTTTATCTGCTTAATATAGCTATTGTTTATATTGAGGACAAACTCCAGTATTGGAGAAGTGAAGATAAAGGAAACTCAGAGTAATTTTCCCACTGTAAAGTGCAGCTTTTACCACTGAGAAAGGAAGGGTGGACTTCTGATTCTGCACTCTGAAATCATGATCTTAAGCTTCTTTTATAATGAAAAGAAGTGGCAGAAATAACCTTTTGATAGCTCTGTTGACAGTCCCTGCAGTTATATAAATAAAGAACTGCCTGCTGCATCAACTCCACTGGTCTCACTGTAGTTTTAGTTAGGTGGATGTAGATTTCAGATTTCTAAATAGAACGTTGTCCATTTTGCAAAAGTAATGTTTACTGTGCTTCCATTATTTAAATTTTGTTTGAGTAGAAATTCAACTTCTAATGTTTTCAAACTGACGATTGGGTCATTTCTCTCTCTTACAAGGCCTCTAAGAATAGATAAAAGCTTTTCTCTCTTTCTGTGGATGCTTATAAATCTCAAAACACAATGAGGATAAGTTTCTCAACAACTAATCTGAAACTGAACTGTCAGGAAAGACTATGGAACAGATAGGGGCAAACTTTGTGTTTTCACGCTTTAATATTTTGAAAAGGACTTGGAATAGTAGCAGCAAAATGAGATGCCATGGCCCTTTGGCTGATAAATTGGCTAGGTCAGATGAATCAGCTGGGAATAGTTCTGACACGGAAGGACATTTCTTTGAAAGAAGTCATTAAGAATGTAACATATGATTTTTTGCTCTAGCATTTCTGTAACCTATAAGCATCACTATAGGAATGGCAAAGATCATTGACTAAAAGGAGCTATATAGTTATTTAATTTTTTTACTGTCATTTGGCTAGATGATATATCCTCTTCTTAACAAATTCTGTAAGGAACTGCAAAGAATATTTCTAAATTTAAATAAATGAAAACTGTTTTATACAGCAGAGCATTATAGCTAGATACTCAACAGAGAAAATAACCTTCTGGTCATTTTAGGGAATCCACAGGGAAAGATCCCTTCTCTTACAAATATAAGGAGATTGCAGGTTTTTAAGTCTTGAAGCTAGTAGATAGCATATCTTCTTAAAACTTACTAAGTCCAGCAAATTTAGTTGGAACAGTGATAGGTAATATGGCTTGCCTTAGCACTGTACTTTGTAGCCTGTGGGGGTGAAAAAAACTATGCAAAATGTATGTTCTTAATGCACAAAGAGTGCATTTTTTTTTTTAATGGGTTGATCTTAGTTTTCACAAATTAGTTGAAACACCTCTCTTGGGGCTGCTTTCCTACTTAAATGACTGAATTAATTTTGTTTGGACTTTGACAGAAGCTGATGTATGAGCAGAGGCTAAGCCTTGAAAATGTTAAACAAGTAGGTTAAAATATCAAGCAAATATGAATGTAAAATGGAAACGATTTTGCAGCTGCTTCCACTTCTGCTATGATCTGTGAAGAGTTACTGCATTTTACAAGATTTTATGTACTGTTATGTGAGCTGAATACTGTTTGTGCTGAAATCAAAGTAATCTCATACTAACACCTTGAGGAGAAGGAATCTTCTCAGTTGGAATATGTAGAGCACATTTCGTAATAAGTGCTAACCTTTTAAAAACATGATACCCAGCATTTTTTAATGACTTCAGTTGTTGTTCCTTTTACTAGATATAATATCAGAGGAACAGCGATAGGTGATAGAATAATGAGGTAATTAATTATTTTCTTCCTCCCCTCCTCCTTTTTATTGCCATATAATGGATTTATCAGATTCTTGGTTTTCATATCTAACTGCCATTTTAATAATTGCTAAACTTGAAATGCTATGAATTACACAGCATTTTCCTTCTTATATTTAGCTGCATGTGTTGCATGGAAACTGAAAAGAAACGGCAGTGTATACATTTAACAACCTATTAACATCTCTATTATGTGCCATAGAAATGAATGGAATTTGAAAAGTGTATAGTTTATGAAAAGCAAACATCTTTTTTTATTAAGCTGCTGAGGAGCGTGTTATGTTTGCATGTGTGACTGCTGACTTGCTTTGTCTGGTAGTAAAGAACACCCAATTCTGGACAAAAAGATCAGAATACATGTATCAAAGACCATTTATATTTTTTGCCTGAACAAGGTTATGTAACTGAGCATAATTATTAAAGCTATATTTAATAATACATATTTAGCAGGATACACGCTAATCTTGTACAATATTTCTTTTAATGAATTTAAATGAAAAAGTCACTTTGTCTTGTTAATCCTCATTGAAATACTTGAGTGAATTACTTGTAAGAACATCTAAGGCAATTTGGGCAATTGTGTTAGGCCACATTACTACTGCAGTTTAATGCCAAGGGCTATATATAGGGGAAATGGCACTAGATAATTCTAATGATGAAAATTAACATCTTGGCTTTGTGTGGCTGGAAAGGAGAAGGTGCTCAGGATGTGGTTTTATAAAAAAACTTAGCCTGAGTCCCCTATTTTAAATGCCTGCAAGAAAATAGTGCAGACATGCTTTTCTTTGTCTTACATGCCAATCTCAGCTGCAATTAGAATACATGGATTTAACTTGGCAACTAACTTAAAGGTTCAGGAATCTCTGTGCTTTTGTAATTTAAATTTCAGGATGGGCATTGTTTCTGTATTAAACATGCCTAGCATGGAGTTCTTTAGCTCTTCAGCACAGCCCATGGGAATATGTGTTTCATATTGCTATAAATTTAATAGAAAAATGAATGATGCATTCAGCATAGAATTTTTTATCAGTATATTTTTCTCTGATTTTCATTGTCATTCTGCAGCATAGCAAGTGAAAACTTTAAAATATTTTGTAGCTGAGAGTAGCTGAAACATTGATTGTGTTGGAAGGCTGAAAAATTAGGAGTGTGTTTTGGTAAACACTTCTTTTTATATGATCAAGCAGTGAAATAAATTTGGCTTTAGGGTAAAGTAGTAAATCTCTTCCATAGCTTCTGAGGCTTCTTAAGGAACATGATTATCTGCTAATTAAAATCAGAAATATAATCAAATGTTGCTACTTAGAAAAGGGACCTATTTTAATATGGTGGTTGTGGGTTAATCCCAGAAGGCAGCTCAGCCCCACACAGCTGCTCACTCACTCTCCCTCAGTGGGATGGGACAGAAAGGTAAAATAGTGAGAGAACTTGTGGGTTGAGGTAAAGACCAGTAAAATGGTTTTCTCATAGTCTCCTTTTTGAGATGGACTTGACTTTGATGTTGCTATCCAGCTTGTTAAGGCATGCAGTTGGAATTCTTGGGCCAGGAGCATGGTAGCTGGCAGGTGGATTCCTCTACACAGTCAATGAAGAAATAACCATAAGGCATCCAAGAAATAGGTTCTAAATTAATGGTTATAAGCCTTGGATTCCCTGCAGTTGTTTTTCATAGGGAAAATAATCTAAATTAGATGGCAACAAGGTGTGTGGTGGGGGGAATCTTAACTTGAAAGAGAAGTACATGTGAGCTTTACAAGCAGCTGCTGCAGCCTAGCTCAGGAGGCGACACATCTGTGATAATAGTGTTTGGAAGAAGCAGGGTTATCTAGGGTACCAGATTAATTCCATGGCAGCCACTATATCTGGAGCTCTAGTGGAGCAGTTTGTAGGAGAATTCCTGTAAATTGTTTACAGGATCAGTTGATGAATAGTTTTTCAGTTTTCCCTCTTTGGAAAACAACATATCATTAACTTTGTCTCTGTTCTAACTAGTAGATAACCATAGTTATCTTAAAACTTGCAGGGCTCCTTAGTCAGAAATTGTTGAATAACGTAGATGGGGGACTCAAAAAAGAGTCTGCAGCTCTCAAAAAAAAAAAAAAAAAATTCTGAAGAACAATATGTGACATATTGTGCTTTATGAAACAGTCTAGTTATTTAATTGTGCCAGATGTATAGCCTTTAGTTTTTTAAAAAAAATCTGTTACAGTTCAGAATTTCTAAACATACAGAAAATGCTTTATGTGACAATTTTTTTTCTTCTTTTTTTTAGCCTTAATTTACATGTTTGCATCTTTTCCATTTCTCTCTATGTATCATACATAGCTGTGGATCATTTCACATCACAGGTGTTTTTTGTTTGTTTGTTTGTTTTTCTTTTGAACCTATATTTAATTGAAAGAATATAATGTGCCTTCACTTCTAAATCCCTATTCTGCTCACCTAGTGCTTAATTTAAAGAGGCTTTTGATAATTAATGTTTGCAACAATTGACATTAAAGACTTCCAACCTGGCTTATAATAAGCAGGAAAGTTGTACTAGTTGGTATCTATATTCTTACTTTTGGAAATAATATTTTAATATTATCTTTCTGCAAGGCACATTTCATTGAAGTAATGAAAGTACCATCATATTGGGCTCAATCTTAAAAAGACTACACACACAAAGTTTATTGTGAAATATTGCACTGTGGTACCACAAAATTTGGCAAAACACAGTTAAAAAGGCTTTATGCCTGCAGACCAGGCAGTAGTATTGAATTATTTTGATGTTAGAGCACTACTTGAGGTATAAGGACATAACTAAAACAAAGTTCAGTTTTGTTTGCTTTACAAGACCTGAAGTTTTCTGTACCATAAAATTAGTAGCATCAACCTATATCCAGTATTTCTTAGGCATCCTCATTATTGAATACCTGAATATGAATACATAATACAGCTGTATCAATTGATGAAGTTGCTTGAGGAGCGCTGACACAATGTGCATAAATTTCATTATCTGACATTTTATGCTTCAAATACAGTTTGGAAGGGAAGCAGCAGCTCATGGTCAGACTTAGTTTAGGCTGAACTTCAGAACAGTACAAACTGCAGTGTGCTTCTCTATCTGCTGATGCTCCAAGTGATTAGGCTACTATCTGTGTTGGCACAGGCAGGAATTGCTTATCACAAATGCAAATGAAAGTTAAAAAGCAAAGAAAAGAAAAATGTTGAATTTTTTTAATTGTTTTTTTTCTTTGTGTGACTTAAGAAATGTATAGAAAATCCGTAGATATGGAGAAGTGATACCTCATGGAGAGAATTCTTTTCCCTGTAATGTTCCTTCTTCTGAAATATCATTAGATTGTGGTCATATTTATCTTTTCTGGAGAAGACTTGCCTCTCCCAGGTTCCTGCTTTCAGCAGCATGTTACTAAAGTGCTCAGTAACAGTATCACAGTTATAGTGGGTGTTCTTGACTGCCTTTTCCCTTTGAAGGTAATCATCAACTTTACAAGATAACTAAATATCAATGCATTCATGTCTTATTTTGAAAGACCCCAAATCAGGAATTTAAGGAATTAATTTAGATGAAAGACAGTGGTTTAACCAAAAGTTGCTTTTGTGCTTCTGCTTTTATTTAAAAATGCACGATTCTGACTGCTGAATAATCTTGATTTATTTTTTTTTTTTTTTGTAATGTCTGCATTCAAGCCTAGGGAAATTTAGAGGAGAACATTAATTTTTCTAGAGATGCTAAGATGAAAAATTATGCAAGAAACTACTTTGGGTTACCAGTTAGTGTAATACAATCTTCTAATTCCAAAACTTGCTACTGCTATCTAGTAAGTAACCCTGCTGAAGGAGCTAAACATGTGGACCACTTTGTCAGTCCTAATGTGCAGTGAAAAAGCTGAGAAGTTAAACAACATCTTTTTATTAATTAATCAATGGGGCTAAATACACTGAAAATACAAATAGCAATCATAGTAAGTTATGGCTGTAAGGCTAGCAGGCATGCTTCTGAAACCAAAAGGGTCTTACTGTTCTGAAGAGGTGTGTGTGCTGTCTCCAAAGCTGTATGATCAGCAGTGGGCTTGGTAGTAGAGCAGTTATTACCTGATCATTGCTTTACTTCCTCACACAAAACCGTTGTTTTTTTTTTTTTTTTTTAAAAAAAAAAACCAACTAAATATATGGTAATCTTTATTTAAATTTTCTGCAAGAGCTTTATGTAGCATATCATATATGTGCCACCTGTCTTTTTCTTTCGTATAGAAGTAAACTGGTGAGGAAGATAATTCTGTGATCTTTAAAGCACAGAAAATAAAGAACATGGGCTTTTTTATTTCCTTTGTTATATGAAGACTTTGTAAAGAGCCCTATTCTTAAATCTGTTGAAGGTTCAGGTTGGGACTCCATATATTATAAGGACTAACACACAGAGTGTATTTAGTGTAGTATAAGAGGAAACAACTAGAAAATTGCCTAGAAATGAGATTTTGGGGGGACAGGGTACTTGCACAAAAGAAATGGTACTAGTCTCTTTTCTGGGATGTTAGACAAAATTCAAATAACTGTATTATAATAAGTAGTCCACTGTTGAGCACATCTGTTGGCTAGTAATTACAAATCTCTTCTAGTTTCTGTTAAAAATGTTAAAGTATGTTTTTAAAGCTTAGCTGTATTAGTTGATCTGTCCTACTATGGCAGTTTGTAGTTTTTTTGTTGTGCTTTCATTTATTTTGTTTTTGAACTGTAGTAAATGACTTACTACTTGCTTTCATTTTCATTCATTGCCTAGCTATAGGATAACAGTTTAATTTTTTTGGTCCAACTTTCTCCTGTGATTAAAAAAAAAAATTTAAATGAAAAATCTAAGCATCCAACTGGCTTAGAGAATTTGTTATGAGAGAGATCTGGTGGGTTTTTGTCTGGAAAAGAGGACTTGTTGCAAGAGTCTCCAGGGTCAGTGACTAAAACATGATACCACATTACTTGTGGACAAACTCACGTTACTAGTTTTCTGGTAGCAGTGTACAAGGTTGCAAATATTTTCAGTTCTGGCTCAGTTTACTTTTCAGGATCATATAAATTCCTGTAATAGTCTGACTCCTTTGTGTTCTGCTAAAATCTGTACCTTTTCCTTCTTGAGAGTTTTATTGCCCTTGGACTGTATTCAGACTTCAAAGTTAATAGCAACACTGATATGGAATAAAAGAAGAAGAGGAGTTAGGTGCAGGTGCTGGGATATGATAGCTGGGTTATAGCTGGAATTATGGGGAGCTAAACAGGAAAAATTTGGCACTAGTGTCTTTTCACAGGTTAATCCAAAAGTAGATTCCTGGAATTAAACATTGACAAACCAAGATATATAATTTAGCTAATTTTTCTGTTATTTTAGGAACTCTTCTGCTATATCCCTCTCTGCTAATGTATGGGATGGTTGCTGCAATAATTCATCTCATGCTTTAGTAGGAACTTTTTTAAAGCTGTCTAAGTCCTGAGTCTTGTCATACAGAAACAGTGAAGAGAAATACATTTAATGGAATTTTGGGGAAAAACCAAATAACACTAGAAGGCACACTTAGTCCTTAATAACATGTTTAAATTTTTAAAACTTCTGTTCTGACATAGATTTTTCACTTCAGAATGTTGCTGCCTCATTATGGGTGGAGGATATCTCTAGCACTGATGAATAAAATAGCATGTGAATTTTGCGAGCAGCTGAAGTTTGTTCTTCAGAGAGGGAATAAAATATTGCATTCCTTGACATTTCACTGTCTTGCATGCTATTCTTGTTCTAAGCCAGGACGGAAAATTGAAAGTCTCTAATTGTACATTTGGGATAATGTTGATGTATGGTCCAGACTTAAGGAGAGTGTGTTTGAGTGCCTCATCACTGTTTTATAGTCCTTTTTTGATGGCCCATTTCATTGTTTAGAGATGGACTCTCAGTAGTGTTCTCCTTATCTGCAATTTATAGACGATCTGCTGTTGCCCGCATTCAGGAGCTTTTCAGAAGGAGGAAAGAAAGAAAAGAAATGGAAGAACTGGAAACGCTGAATATTAGACGTCCTTTAATAAAGATGGTTTATAAAGGTCATCGGAACTCCCGGACAATGGTACAAACTCTTTGTCTGTTTTGGGAACTGTAGAGATTTTATGGACTGAGTCAGTGTAGCTGACCAAAATATGCTTGCCCAAAAGGATATTGTAATTTGTTGTAAGCACTTTTTCTTGCATATTCAGTTGTAAGCTACATAATTTGCTTTAAATTAAAACTAACATGAGTGTGACTTGCACATCACCATGCTAGGTATCTAAGTGTTCTCGAATTTAAGACTCTGGCCCCTTAACTTCCTTTGAAATTTTGGGAGTTTTCCTTAACTTTTTCATTTTGTCTGTCAGCTTAAGTGGTATAAAATGTGCCTACTTTCAAAATTATTATTTAATCCTCACTTTCCCTTCCAAGTTACTGCTGTTAAATATTTTTTTTAACAGCCTGGGAGGCAAAATGAAGATTAAATCATAGTTTTGAAGAACCCTGACATCTCTGAATTTAAAAAAAAAAAAATAAAAAAATAAAATGGTGCTAGTTATTAAATTGTAATCTAACTACTAGACACTTTTTAATACAAAATATCATGTTTTAAGAAAAATACAGTTACTGTGTTTGTAAAGCAGTGGTGCTTGAGAAAGAAGAAAAGGGCTGTTTCCCCTGTTATTTCTTTTTTTGCTTTGTACAGTGTTTTGAAGATGTCAAATCCTGAGTACTAGGTGGTTTTTTTGTAGTTAAGAGATATTAAAACTGTTTGCCTAAATGCTCTTAATTCAGTCTCCATCTGCATATATGTTATTAGATTATTTCACAGATTTTGTTGTTTGGTTTCTTTGTTATGGGGGTTGGTGTGTTTTTGCTTTTGTTTCACATGAGTGCCTATGATAAAGAGTGCACGAAAGACGATGTAAATTTCCCTGTTGGTTTGTATGGTAGCAGACTTCATTTTAATGTGGTGGGGTTTTTTTTGTTCCTGCAAGGCAAGAGCTCATGGTATTTCCCTTTCATGAGCCAGCTTAGAGAGGTTTTGTTTCTTACGCACCTGAGGAGGCCAGGGATAAAGTTATCTTGTTGATAACATGAACGATTTATATATATATATATATATCTCATACTTATAGGGAGAGTGAATTAAAGTTATGAAGATAAATTGAATAATTCTGGTACTTTCTTACTTTTGAGAACTCAATTGGGCAATCTTACAATTTTTTTTTAATAAGCATATTTTAAGTGTAATTCTTATAATGTCAACAAGTAAAAGATTAGCATTATAATGATATTTGCTTGTGTCATTGACAGGGTTGGAATGTTTTTATGTCCATTACACAGATCCATGCCATGTAACCACTCTTAATGATGTCATTAGTGTCTTGGGTTTTAGCATTTTTTTTCATGAAACAGTCCTGAAAGTACAGCAGTAGGGGGTGATGGTAATGGAATGATGGGAGGTGGGATTTCCTGTTTATCTTTAACTCTCGGAGGAAAAAAAATGCTCTTGTGAGCTCAGACTGCCTTTCTTTCTCTTCAGATTTGTCTTTTGCCATGTGTCTTCAGTTCTTTGTGTCTTCTGTCTCTTTCTCACTATTTTTCCCTCCAGACTTGGTCTTATTTCCATTCATATATGCACCATTCTTCCTCTGTTCCTCTCACCCTGTGTCCTGAGTTCTCCTCTTAAAATGTTGGCTTAAAGAAACTTTTCATCAGTGGAACATGTGTGTGTAAACTAATAAATAGTTAAAAGTTTATATCCATGGATAAGCTGTTTATGCATACAGGAGTGTGTATGTGAGTTTGAAAACAAAAATTTAAAATGTGAATTTCAATTCTGTTAAATTACATGGTGCCAAAATTAGGTTTTATGAGTATTAAAAGTGTAAAATCAGCAGTTACACAAGAGAATACAAAGGAAGCAGGAAAAAGTAATAACTGAGAATTAAAATATATTTATGATTGGAGATAATTTAAAGGTACTTTTAAGAGAATGGATAAAAATATATATTAAGTGGAGTTATAAGATAGAACCTGTCTAAAGATAAATATACTGGAAACGCATCTTTTATGACAGAATCCAGGAATGCAGTTTCTTTGGCTTGTTTTAAAACAACAGGGTGATTTTATTGCACTGACTGCAATTGTTGGTACGCATTTTATAGCCAAAGGTCTATCGAGCCTGAAATTTAAAACTGGACATACTAATGCTGGAAATACAGTACATATTTTTAACAGGGGTAAGGTTTTAGCTTACTAATATGATTAATTATCATGGTGATTTTTAAATCAGCATGGCTGGGGCAAAGCACAGAGCAAGACAATGTCGCTGTCTTTTTTTTTCCAGTGTGTTCTCTGAGAAAGCTATGCAAAAAGAAAGAGAATAAAACTTTAAAGATCATTCTTATGATGTTCTACTTGGACAATAATTCCGTAGTAGAATTCTGTGTAAATAGTCTCAAAGTTCTGTCCTTTTACAGCCGAGATACTCTTAAATACCAAAAATTAGGAAATTAATTTGTGCTTAGTTTCGAACATTGAACATCATCTGTGTGAAATCCGAAAGCTGCTGTGTAGGAAAATTCTGTTTACTTAGGTATCTCTTTTGCCCAGTGTGTGTTAATTTAAAGAGTTTGTAAGAGGTACTGGTAACTTTTTAGAGCAATCTTGTGTGTAGGATTACATTTTTAACTTCCTGGCTCTTTACTCCAGCACAAATATCAGACTGTTGTGGAGCTTTCGGCTCATATCTTGTGATTCAGTTCTGACTGTTTGTGAAGCAATGTCCTTCTTGCCTCTGCTGCGCCATCTAACTATTGACCTTGTAGATGATGTAGGACAACAATGCAGAAGGATACTCATGCCTAGCCTGTTCCTAATTTTAATAGTTTAACAGGGCTATTTTGATGTCCTACTGTGAGTAAAATCACTGCTGATTAGAATCATCTTCAGAGATCTCATTCTTGTTTGCTCAGACTAATTGTTTGGCTTCTTTTGTGTTACATCCCTTTAGAAAGGGAGAGCAAGAGAGGCCTTGGAATGGAAAGATTACTATACATTTTACAAACCTAATAACTGCTTCTTGAAAAAAATATTCTATGGTAGCTTTTGTTAGCTCAGAAATGGAATAAGCCACATTCTTTCAGGGTGTAATTGTAAGGGTATTTGAATGTAACAGTTGTGGAATAATGTCAACATAATATTTCAAGTTCATTGATATCTGATACCATTGCCACTTTCCTGAGCTGCAATATCTCTGACACTTACACAATCATTTTCATTGTAAGGCTACTCTGCTTCATAGGACAGACTACTTCAGCTGCCTTCAGATGAAATTGCAGATCTATGAGACACACAAGGAGTTGGAGTTTTCCTACTGAGTTAGTAAATGCACAAATAATAAATAATACATCATTTACTACACAAAAAATTATTTATAAATAATGCTTAAGAAATTAAAATAGTATAGTCTAATATAATAAATACATAAATCCATACAAAAATATAACTAATATGTATAAATTGTTATCAGATAATACATTACTCTTACAATTCTGTGACCATACCACATTTGGGGGAGAGGGATGGGAACAAAGAGCAGGAAAAAAGTTCAGGCTACTTGACTTGTCTGTCTTCCAATGATCTGACTTCTTCAAGTCAGGTACATGCTAAACTAGCTATCTTGTCGTTGACCACTTCTCCTATTTCCTTTAATTTCCAGAATCGGGGAGTCTAGCTGTTTTGAGAGCAGAGATAGTCATTTTATTAGAAAATCATTCACAGCATTGTTAGCAAGTGCATATCTAGAGCAATTATGCTTGTGAGACCATGAATATGTATGGAGCTTAAGACACTAGGTTTAAATACCTACCTAATTACAGCACTTCTCGCAAGGAAAGGGAAATAGATGATGTAATAAGCCATTATATAGTATACTAGCCATTATATAGTACAGTAGCCTAAAGCATGAGCATACTGTTCCCTGGACCTGTCCTTTTCTTTTTCCCCAGAGTTTTTCCTCTCTTCATCAGGTGGAGAGAAGGATGTGTGTTGATGGCAAGGGAAGAAAGGCCAAGTGCGACAGGAAGCCTTTGCTGTCTGCTGAGGCAGTTCCCCTGCTCCAAAAGAAGCTTTCTGTCACCCTCCCTTAGCACTGCCAGAGCTTCCTGGAGAAGCTGCCAGAAGGGAAAAGCCCAAGTGCACACTGTGTCACTTCACTGACTGTGAGGCACAGCAACAAACTATACAGCTGTGGTGAGAAGCAGCTGGTTTTCTGGAAGCCTTCTCAAGGACCTTGGATCTTTCTGCAAGACCTTTCTGTCAACGGCATGTCCAGCCCAGTTGTATTCACACACAAGCAAATGTGCACGCTTTAGCTCACATTGCCGTGGTTGTGAAGTTCCTCCCATCTTTTCTGATTTATGAAAAACTCTTGAGTAATTTGTGCATCTTTCTAGTAAAAATTATTACCATGTTAATCGCAGAGGTGTAGAATTTCCTCCTTCAAATGTACAGTTCTCCAATCAGAGAAGGCTTCCTTGAATGTTTTCATTACAGCCAGTTATAATCCAGGGTCAAACTACTGTGTTATCAATAACATGAGAGAGGAGTTAGCTGTAGGTAAAAAACAAAGATCATCCAATTATAATTTCTGATGAGTAAGTGATTCTAAAATTAATACATTTTAATTAATACAATGCTAGTCCAGTCAGTGCAAAGTAAAATTCCATACACTGGTCCAAAGTACTAGAATGACCTTCAGTGTGCACAGTAGGCCCTCAAAGAACTTACTGCCTTTGCAAGATAGGTTATAGCTTGCTGTCTAAATTGTAAATACACCTGTTGCTGATTAAAAATATTTTGCAAAGGTTCTCAGGTACCTCAACAAAGTGACAATGGGATCAACCACATAGAACAGTATGCATCATCACTGTGTCAAAAAAACCTGTGATCTTATTAGTTCTACTTGCATGCAGAGCTGCTTCGTTCATCTACTGTTACTGTAATAGCTGAAGCTGAATGATTGCATCTACCCAGATGTGTTCCTTGTTCAGTAGTTTATAACTTTTTGTTTTTGCCTTGGATTAACAAGTCTTAGTTCTTATCTGGCTGATTGTAGGGAGGGGGGGAAATTCCTAAGTTTGATTTCATGACCCCCTTTTATCTGTCAGACTCAGTTAATTCCCACCCCCCAGTTTTCATAAGCTTCCATCTTGTCTACTCTTCATCTGTAAATGGAAAATCCCCAGCAGAGATTAGCCTGGCACTCTCTTGAATATACCAAACTCTTCCCAAAAACTGTTTCACATACCTCTGTCTCCAGTATCATTCTCGTCACTCTAGAAAGTGACAAATCTGCTGTCATTGATTTCCAAACTGCTCAGTCTGCCCCAGTTCCTCTCCTTTTTGTCTGGTAACAGCCATTTTGTTCTGGAGAACTTTAACCTTCTGAATTTTCTTTTTTTGATCGTTCTTCTTTAAATGTGTTTCCTTTAAATTTTCTTAAATGTTGTTTCTTCATTTGCAGAGCTCTTAGTTCAGAGACGGTGTTGTTGCAGAAATAGGATTATACTCTGATGTGCTTTCCAAGCTAATCTTATAAAGTAATTGATATGTTTTTTATGCTGCAGATAAAAGAAGCAAATTTTTGGGGATCTAACTTTGTCATGAGTGGTTCAGACTGTGGCCATATTTTTATATGGGATAGACATACTGCTGAACACCTCATGCTGCTGGAAGCTGATAATCATGTGGTGAACTGTCTTCAGCCTCATCCATTCGACCCAAGTAAGATCATAATTTTTCAGTCTGCATGTTCAGCTTATCTGTAGTAAAGCATTTTAAAGCTCAGTCCTAAATTCTTTGCCCACTAGAGCACTATAATGATTAATGAACTATTGCTTTTTTTTCCGCGTATGAATTAGATAATACTGCTTTTCATTTTGTCTTTTACTAATAACATTTGGCCCATAAAACCCTCCTTACTCAATAATGTCTTGGAATAAAAATGTTAGTGACATAGTATTTACAGAAAGTTATGCTGTAGTAAGAATAATCTCAATTTCTTACTCTCCTCAATACATTGTTTTCCATGACATTAATGCAGGAAATATGAAGTCACTGAAATGGCCAGCAACACTTTGGGATTTGATATTGGAATGTGGTACCTACTTGTTTCTCTTCAAAAACTTTGAGTGAAGTGGATGTCTGTCTCACTGGCTTTGTGAGATTAAGCGAATGAGGAAAATTCATAGAAATCCTATTAATTTGTATTTAGGGGAAAATATTTATAAAAAAGATGGACCAAAGTAGTAGTAGGAGGAATCATGTGTCGCCTGACATGTACACAGAAAATCCGAACCATTCTGCAGGTTCTAATACGGTTAAAGAAAGTATTCATGTAATTTTTTTTTTTCCATAGCTTAGATGGCTGTAGAATATCAGTCAGCTCTAATATAAATAAGCAAATAAATTGGTTATAATAATATCAGAAGAGGCTAGTTTTTCTTTCAGACAGTTTGCAGAAACATGAAATAGTGCCCTACATTGGATAAGCCTTGAACTTACAAACGCTTCACTGAAATAGTGTTCCTCTACATGTGTGTGTGTGGCTTCTTTTGGAAGCACCTTTCAAAATGTCCTGTAGCTTCACTGATTTCTTGATTGAGTGTGACTGTCTCCCTATCACACACTGAAAATCATAGAATCATAGAATGTTTTAGGCTGGAAGGGACCTCTAGAGGTCATCTGGTCCAACCTCCTTACAGAAGCAGGGACATCTCTACCTAGCTCAGGTCGCCCAGGGCTGTATCAAGCCTGGCCTTGAATGGTTCCAAGGCAAAATGTAGCAAAGAGATCATCTTCCCTGTAGGACAGTTAGTTTTCTACAGTCTTCCAGTTACTGAGATCTTTCTATGAAATTTTTATTCTTGTAGATGTTTTGTGCAATGATCTAGAGAATATTCTGCAACTTCTTGTTTTCCATATTATAACAAGAGCTTATAAGAGTATCCACTGCTTCTTTACATTTGAATATCAAATACATTCACCTGGAATACACTGAAATTATCAAACGTCAAAATAGGTTTGAAATTGTCTTGCTAAGTCTTTGTATCTGCATCTACAAATCCTAAGGCTTTGTAATTAATGCATATACTTACCAGGCCATCAGCAGATATATATTAGTAGGAGCTGGGTTTGTTCTTACTACCTGCTCCCATTTTATGTATATTCTGGTGGGTTTTTTGTATTTAAAAAAGGAGTCTCTTGATGTTTGCATGTGTTTTATTCATATAT